AGTAACTGTGACCATATATATGTAAATTGAAAAAATTAACTGAATATGATATAGTAAAAAGTATGAATAAGTTGTATCAAATGATTGATGATGAACAAAGAAATTACGAGAAGAGAAATAACATATTCAATGTTAGAAGAATATTTTAATATACCAAAGTATCAACCCGACCAACCCGTATAGTTTGGGTTGGGTTGCAATTTGGTTTGGGTTGTATTGTGTTAAGATTTTTCAAATCGCAAACATTGGATTGGATTGTTCAGATGTCTTCAACTCGATCAACCCAACCCATAAGCACCCATATGCATCAAGTTGCATTACATATGTACACTTATGATGTATGTATTTATGTATACTAGAAGTGTACACATATAAACATCTCGTCGATAACTCAAATCTTCAATCCTGATTTATAAACTTGAATTTTAAAAATATAATGCAAATGTTTAATATGATATTAAATATATTTATATATGAAATATATTGCTAAATATCTCAAATCAAATTAAAAAATATATATATTTATTCTCTTCTACAAAATTATGTTATTGAAAGTCAATTATATTTAAGATATTAAATGAAAATATGATAAATTATTGAGTTTTCTAAGTTTGATCTGTTAAAATTTAAAAGGTAAAATTAATTCCTAAAATACCCATAAATTATATTTATATTATACAAAACAAACAAACTATCAATATATATATATACACTATATATATATATATATAATTGATTCAAAATAATATATTCAAAATTTAAGAGTTTTATTGAGTAAATTGTATGAAAAAATAACGTACTTTAACTTGATTCATATTATAGGTAACGTACTTTTAAAACTTTCATTTTGGTATATAAAATGCAAAGTTTTAAACATTTAAGTACCCGAGTAACCGGTTGAAAACTAACTGGTTAATAATACTGAGTTAGATATCACATCACTCGGCACATCAAAATGATAACTGGTTAATACTTCAACCAATTATCCAAAAACTTAAATATTTAAAACTTTATATTTTATGTACCAAAATATAAATTTTGAAAATATGTTACAAAAAAATAAAAATCAAATTAAAATACGTTATTTTTTAATACAATTTGTTCAATTTTATTGAGATAGTTTAGCATGATATTAGTTTCCAATTAGAATATACAAGTCATTATATATACATGTATAGGCCACCCTAATGGTATTGGTGGGTAGGAATATTAAGGATGATGACAAGGATCTTTATTCCTCATCCTGCTGTGCTGTGCTGACCCATGTGCTTTTGTCTACTCCAATACCTATTTTTAATTATCTAAATTACTAATATTTAATAATTGATGGGGGGAATAAAACATATATTATATAGTTTAACTTTAAAAAATATATCAGTTTAACTCAACCTGTTAATACTGGGTTGAAATTAGATCGGTTTAACCTGATATGTTAACATATAGCCACTTTGGTTGTAGTTGAGTCGGACCCAGTTGAAACCAATTCGACCCTACATCAAGATTGTATTTGATGACGATTATGTATTTTACCATAAGTGTAACTGACTAATTCCATCCTCACCTCCTCACTCGTCTGCTATTTGCGTGTCAATTATTCATCGCCCTTCCTCTTCACTGCTTGCTCCATCCTATGCCCCCTTAGCCTTCAGCCATCGAGTTATTTCTTTTCAGCATGAAGCATTTGGTTGGTTGTGTGTGTGGATCAGGGTTATTGCAACTCTGAATCGATGATAATATAAAACGACACAACTTTTAATATACCATATATTAAGAGGCTGTTTACCAAATGCTCAATGGCTGAGCTCTTACCGAGCCATCTACCTTACTTGGTGAGCATGTCAATAACCGAGAATCTTACCAGGTAAGAAACATGACAGTAATCGAGGTTCTTACTCGGTAAGTGAGAGAGAAGACTCTTGCTCGATAACGTTTACCAGGTAAGAGATGCTTACAAACCATTCATTGATGCCCAAAAATGTTATCTGACAAGTAAGACTAGTGATTCTTGTTGATAAGCACTTACCCAAGGTAAGTAAGAATAGCGATTCATCATGAAGTATAAATAATTAAATAAAAATTAAAGAATAAATATTATATATTACATCAAGAAGATTTGAAATCGAAAAAGTACGTATTGTATTATAATGTATATCGGTATATGCCTACAAACTTCTATCAAGAAAACCTTTTATAACTGTCCGAGTGTAAAGATTATTTAGAAACTGAAACACATGCCTAACTGGGGTGCTCACGGCCCGGGTTGATCGGTTTGGAGCCGTTTTAGTAACCCAACCCAAT